AGATATGTATATACCGTACTGGAAGAGTTCATAATTTGATACATATTGTGGATAGTTTGTGCAGGACATTTTGTGTGTTTTAGGGGAGGCATGTCCCTGGATATGTTTAATTCTTTTAGCAGCCACAGCTGTTCAGAACTGAAAAAACAGGCATGCAACATCCTCAAAGCTAAAAGAGACCCCCCTCCCCCGCAACATGCGACAATTCTGGCGATCTTGTGTTTGCAAAGTCAACGTTTCAGCGAAAAATATCTCTCAACTCAGCTATATAGTTGCAAATAAAACGTTTTGAGTGTGTTGTAAGGTGCATTATACAAATGTGACACTAGATGGTGATGGTGAGCTATGGCAAATTCAATATATTTTTTTCCAAACTGTTTTTTTAAAAAGCATTTTCACAACGTGTTTTAAATGTGTCTAGATTCCACCTCCATTGTTTTCCACAGAGATCAACCAGAAGTAGCCACAATTTCTGGCTCGTCTCCACCTTGAAATTTCTGGAGGAAATTTACCCCTTCAATATTCTGCTTGTGCAATTAGTGGGGGGAAATGCATGTAAAGCATGGGGGAGGAAGGAGCAGTAAAAAATTTTTGGCCGTTCTGAGGGGCTTCCATGGCAATGAGTAAAGCCTGCATGCTCAGGTGGAAAGATTGTTTCATGACTGTAGGATTGTCACTGATCCTAAAAGCATCACACATGAGCAAAAGCCTAACAATAGAACTCCTAAAATTAGAACACACAAACAGTGACATTGAACAGGGTGACACTTCAGCTATTTTTGGTCTTTTGCATTTTGAAAGATAAGCAGACCTGGAGCTATTATGCCTTTGGAGTCTTATAACTAGCATAAGGCCTGCCTGCTCTGTTTATTATACAGCTTTAGAACATGAATGTTTACTGGAATGGCTATTTATTTATTTGAACTTTGAGTTGGATGTCATGCAGATAATAAAATGAAAGCAATAGACAAATAATTCACAAATTAATTCACCAGCAGTTTTTCTTTTACAGTGTTTTGGAGAATAAGAGAGGTTCCTGAAAGATGTTTGAAATACTTATTATTACATTTACCAGGCTGGTCCAAATGGTTGAAAGAATAGGTACAGAATTGAATGTATTAACAAATGTTTTGATGATGAATCAATATTTGATATTGTTGACCCTGCTTTTTTAGAAACAAGACTTGCATTCTTCTTCTCTCTGCATGGTGGCTATTAATTTACAGCTGAACTATACACTTTTCTCGGATAGCTTTGTCTGCTTTTGTAGAAAACTTCAATAGACACAGCTTTAATTAAACTTGTAAAGACTGTTTAAAAAATATACGGTATCCAACGGAGAGTTTGTCATCAGAAACGAATAATAGTTGGTGTTTGTACAGTGAAGCTTTTTCTTCTTCGTCTTCCAGAAAGAGTACTGTGCATGTGCCTGTTTTAAAAATGCCTACCCTTATTTGTTGAGAAGCGGAAGGTCAGAGTTCAACAAATTTAATTGTCAAAGATTTAATACTCAGGTTTGAGAACAGTGAGAAATATAGGCAGAGGTCATAATTCAAAGTGCATGACCCAGTCTCAATGTAAAATGAGATCAAGATGCAAGAGAGAGAGAGAAAATGGTACCACATTCTGGGCTTCTGTTTCTGGAAGGCAGTGATATAATATTGGCAATAAAAAAAGGAAAGTTAATTCACACCCCTCCTCCTAATCCAGCCATAGAAACTGGACAAACACAATTGACAACATAAGACTGATATGATAGATGGAGCACATAAATTAATAGGTGTTAGCAGAACAAGATGAGAATAAGCAATGAAACCGAGGGAGAAGCAGATGAGGTAAACAACAGGGAACAGAAGGGGTGTGAGAAGGAGTTCTCTGAGGAATTAGCTGCATTTGTGGGCAACTATGGCTGGTAGTGATAGGCATTCATTTTTAAGACAGTTGCTAGAAGTGTGTTACAGGTCTTGTCAACTTTGGTGTACACACACACATATCCCGTTTGTCCCACTGTCATCTATGGTGAAGAAAGGTTTTAAAGCTGTTTTTGAAACGCTACAAAGTCCTGTTAATCAAAGCTGACAGTGGGATGAGTCAGGGTTGCCATATTTTGAAGAGCAAAAGAGAGGACACATTTGCCAACTTCTACTTTTAACTGTGGATTGCTATGATGACTCTACCCATGAAAAAAGGACGCGTCCTGGACAAAGAGGACATATGGCAACCGTAGATGAGTGCACATACCGCAGGTAACAATGCCTCTATCATACCATCTCTGACAAAGGCGATTATCTGTCTCTAGCTCAAGCTGCATGATAGTCAACAGAAGAGGGATACCTTAGGATAGGCACAGAGTTGTACAGAGAAGATTGGAAGTGGTTTTGATGCATATGTCTAGCAAGGCTTCTGAGTTATGTGCCTCCTTGACCAGTAGTAATAAGCTAGGGATACATGCAAGCCTTTTATATTCCTGGCATAGGGTTGTATCCAGTGGGGTCACTCAGCTGGTGTTAAGACTTCTGTCACCAAATAGGGAAGGGATTCCTCCTCCTTCCTCTCCCTGTTATCTGCTCCAGATGGCTGGGAGACCATTCTCCAGAGCAGATTTAGCAGGGCACAGTGAGGGGCTAAAAGGGGAGGAGAAATCACTGACAATTGCTTCCTTCTGCTGAGTGGCACAGTTGGTTCAACCCCTAGTTTTCTTGATCATGCACCATGCCTCTCTTTTCTTTTCAGCCAATTTAAACAGGAGACTTTTAGCTATGTCTTTTCAGCTACAGCGCTGTGCCCACTTGAGTAAGTCTCATTGGGTCAGTGGAACTTGCTTCTGAATAAACTTGCAAAGGATTTCATTGTGAGACATCCAAATAATTAGTATCCAAAAACAAGTTTGTTGCAACCCTTGATTGCTTCATGTACTGCTTGCGGAAAAAATAAATAATTTTTAAAAAAACTTTTGATGGGAAGTATCTGACATAGGGGATAAACTCAGGCAAGTAAATCTTCCTTGTGTAGAATAAAAATTGTCACTGTCCTTTTAATTTCACTATTGTAATCACATAGTGACATCAGCTTTGCTGAGGTGCCTGGAAAGCTAGATGAGAATCAATGGCAGCACCATCTATCAACATGAAGTCTAAATCAATGTAGTTTTGGAGCATGGTACTCATAGTTCCAAATAGCAATGTCACTGGCTGGAAGGGTTTACGTGGGCATTTTTGCTTGTTCTTAAATAACTGTGTAGTGACATACTTGTTTCCATCTTATTTTTCCTGGCTAAGAACTAGTTCACATGTCTATTTCTGTGGTAGAAGGCACAACTCACCATGACTATGGTTCACAGAATCGTACAATTTGATTAATGTAACCTTTGGGGCTTTGGATGTGCTTCCAGAACGGCAGCTTCCCATGCTGAATAAATGCATAAATAAATAAATTCACATTGAGAAGAATTTCATATGCACTTTATTATATGGCATGGGAGGATGCCGTTCAAAGGAAAGTTGGAAGTCCCACTGGGTTCAGGCATGTCTAATGTAGCTTTCCGATTTGCTGACCACAGATTTCCCCCTCCCAACATCTACAGCAACAATAGGGCAAATCCCTCAGGGCTTTGGTTTTAAAAACTTAGTTCTATATAAGAGCTGTGTGGCCTACAATCAACATGTATAGAGCCATTCCTAAGACTAGGAAGTATGTATAGTGGAAGATGTCTCAGAATATAAGAAAAGTCAACTTCTTTTAGAAAAATTGGCTGGTTGTTTTGTGAATCTACGCCCGTGAAGCTTCTATTATCAGTTAAAGGAAAAGTGTTTTGGGTAGAACTGGCATCAAGTACGTTCTTGCAATATATATATATATATATTCTTACACATTGTATTTTTTGAGATTTGTGCCAGAAATGCCTATCACAGGCTTTCTGAAATATTAAAATTAAATTGCCTTTGCATTAGGCACTCAAAGGCACCTCTGAGCACCTCTCACACAATTTCTGCCATATGTGAAAAGTTGTGGGTTTTTAAAATGGGATTTTATTTAATGTAAGAAGTCACATAAACAAAAAACAATAGCATATACGGAAATGAAATTGAGATAGTTGTTAATATTGGTAGTGCATAGACGAGAAATTGAAACTGCGAGGGATATCATGCAGTTTTTACATTTGAACTAAAGGATGATTTAATGAAAAGCCAATTCCAGTCTCACATCTGAAAATGTTCTAATTCCCAGTTTGTATCTTAGATTAAAAGGTCTTCATTCTTAATGGATATGTCAGAGCTTTACTCAAAGGAGAGAGATCTTGGCAGGTCATGACAATAATGTTATTATGCGTGCTGGAATATGAGACACACAGTTTGATGATATGCTGATGAAGGGTTCTAAGACATTCTTGGTAGTTAAACATAGCATGGGGTTGGAAGGAAAGAGTCCAGTTTATTAGAGTAATAACTTGCAATTGCCCCATGTTGGCACAGAAATGAGACTATCATACATTAATATATATTAGCATCTTGGTCTTGTAATACTTTTCAATCAAAGAAACACTCTTTCATTTCAGCCTGGTTGATTCTAAAGGTATTTTCTCCAGATGGTTGTTGGGCTTCAGCCCACATCAGTCTCAACCAGCATGGCCAATGGTTGGGGATTGGTTCATTTTTGCAATCTGGAGAAGTGCAGATTTCACAGGATGTCTGTCTGTGTTTCAGTTGACATATTGTTCTGGTAAGTACAAATTAGGTAGGTTCGCCTTTTTCTCCTTGTTGGCAGTTGTACTCCAACGACATCTGGAGGGCCTCAAGTGCCTCACTCCTGTCATACAAGGTACATTTTCACACTAAGGGTTCACCCACACTTACCTTTGCCCCACATTTATGAGACACAGGTCCATGCTTTAAAGCTCTGTGTCTGGCTGTTTTTATTTCTTTGCTCTTCCGCTTTCCCCAGGACACCCTGCTCTTTAATGCTGAATTGGAACGAATGGCAATTTCTGTGGATTGTCGTCAGCTCTGATTCAGTCGGTAGAGCATGAGGCTCTTAATCTCACGGTCGTGGGTTTGAGCCCCACATTAGGCAAAAGATTCCTGCATTGCAGGGGGTTGGACTAGATGACCCTTGTGGTCTCTTCCAACTCTATAAGATCTAGAAGTGGTAATGAGCGGGCTTTTGTGGGGAAAGTGTCAGGGCAACCCCCCCAAAAAAAACCCCAAGAAAAAACAACAACATTCTGATAGAGTGCTTTAAAGAGCAGACCTGTGCCTAGAAATGCAGAAAGAAAGAAAGAAAGAAAGACAGAAAGAAAGAAAGAAAGAAAGAAAGAAAGAAAGAAAGAAAGAAAGCCTGGGTAAGTCCTGAGATGTAAATCTTTGCTTGCCCCTCTCTAAAGCAACTCTTTCCCTTTTTATTTTCTGAATGTATTTTATATGCCCAAGCAGACTGTTTCCATACCACATTTAGGCAGCTGCCTCAGCAAGCAGGTTATGAGCTAGGTCTGCTTGACCCGGTTGCCATCTTCTCAATGACCCTTAACGGAATTGGAGTCTACTTATTGTGGTTCTGATCCTGCAAGGGCCTGCATCCTAACCAGGCATGGCATTAACAGCGAACGTTGCTGCTGTTCAATCTTGTTTTTAACCAGGAAGGCCAGAGGTTCACTCATCTGTAACATGTAGCTACTGACATAAAAGACAAAAACTGAGGTTGATAAGATAAAAATGGCCAAGCTGCACGAGAAAGTGGTGACTTTTCCCAACATAAACATTTCTGTAGCCAACACAGCACTTCAGGGGTTTTCTTTGTAAAATGTTCCACATCTCCTTAATCTTCCCGATACAGAAAAGACAGGGAAGATACAGAAGGCCTTTGTTTCCATTTAACAAATTACTATTGCCCTGTAATATTTTTTTTTAAAAGGACCCTCCTTCTTTATTAGCAGCATCCTCTTTCCACAGATATGTCTTGGATATACATGGCATCGTGACAGTTCCTTTCTCCGTATGCAGCTGAGGAAGAGAAATATTAAATGCTTTGCCAATGTTTACTTGATATAGGTACTTTGGACATATCCTGTGTAGATAATGAATGATAAGGTAATATCCGCCATTGTTAAGGAATTTACTTCACAACGTACTGATGGCAACGGTGACAGCCAGTCCCATAGACTCTCTGATTTAAAAAAGTCTTGTTCAGTTACTTGGACTGGGTTGCCTTTCCATTCCTAAGTATACATTCCATTTCTCCCATGTGTGCTTTAGACTTCAATTTATTGCTCATGCCCAGGGGCCATCAGCTGGTGCCTGAACTGGCTGGTTTCTGGCACAGTACCTGCATGAAATGGTTCTCCTCCTATGAGTCAATCAAACTCTGAGGTAGCTTTGACCAAGAGTTGGTGAGTAGCCCAAGGACGCCCAGCAAGCAATGAGTATGAAAGGGGATTTGATGCTGAATCTTCTCTTATTCCAATGTTCTAACCAATGCACCACAGTAATTAAGGCCAGGCTATGTTAAAATCTGAAAATTCTACATTGTTAATGCCGGTCACTGCCTTCGTGGGAGGCATTTAAAAAGCCTAGAAACAGGAGTTGGTTTAACTAGGCATTTTTGTAATCCATTCTTAGATTGAAATATGTTTTTTAAAAAAATAAAAATAATGAAGTATATATGCTGTTTTCACTCTCCATAATTTCAGTTTTTAAAAGTACATCAACATTGTATTTAAGTTCGGGGTGTGTCTGCAAATAAAGGAGTGTTCCATGACTGAGGGGCTGAGAGAGCTATCACCCACTGTGGTGACAAATAGGTACATGCAAGTAGGTTTCTTCATTCCTGAGATACCTGGTTAGAAACCAGAGAAAGAGGGAGAGGGAGAGTAAGGGATCAAGCAGGACAGATATTTATGGGCTTTTTGTTCTTTTCTTTTTTCCGATTTAATTTAAGTCATAAGATTAAGAGATAGGGGTGGGTCCAGTAGCACTTTCTTTCCTAACCACAGTTTTTTGGGGAGCCCATCAAATTCATTTCAGTGCTGTCAGTAATGTGCTATTTTCCCTCAAAGCGTTGTCACCGAGGCCAGTTTGACAGTGACAGGTTTTTAAATTTAGTAACTGTGCTTGCTTGCTAAGAAACTGTCCGTTTCCTAAAATGCCAGGAAAGAAGCAGCAGAAGCCCCTTTCACACCTTTTTAAAAAAACTGCGCAGGTGTGAAATAGGAAACCAAGACTGGTTGCTGCACCCCTCACTAAATATGATGTGCCTGCATGCATATAACTTGTACATGTGTATGTTCTGTACACACAATTAGTAACTTCAGAATGCAGACTCCCCTCCTGAATGGGGAGAACCTCTGTGCATGCCATGCATAGGTTCTGTTTTCACATTTGGATCATATGCACTGAGTTTGTGAGTGGGCAGACAGCAACAAAACTCCATTCTGTCCTCTAGCCACCTGCTTTTGAAGGTGTGGAAATGGGGAAATGAAAGCACCAGGGACAGCTCTGGACATTCTATTTCCTGTTCACTTATAATGAATTGTGTTCATGATGGCACCGGAGATATGTGATCCTATTTTCCATACTTGTTTGCACCTGCAAAGTTTTGGGGTGGTCCTATTGCGTCGTTTCCCATCTGTATGTGTCACTCCAACAGGTGAAGCTCGTCATGTAGGAACCTTGAGGAAGTCCTTCTCGGTAGTTGGGCTCCATTTTATGGAACTGATTTCACCACACGATAAAGACTGTTTTCTAAAGCTTTTGAAGGCCATGCTTAGAATGTTTTTAGAGCTTTTGGTCTCCTTCCATGCCACAGAGCTGATTATACAGGGGAATTTCCAACAAGAGAATGGGCTTTTTCTGTGGTGGCTCCTTGATTGTGGAATGGTCTTCCCAGAGCGGCTTGTCTGGCGCCATCATGACATGTATTTAGATGCAAGGCAAAAACATTTCTCTTTACCCAGGCCTATGGCTATTAAATACAGTGGTACCTCGGGTTACAGATGCTTCAGGTTACAGACGCTTCAGGTTACAGACTCCGCTAACCCAGAAATAGTACCTTGGGTTAAGAACTTTGCTTCAGGGTGAGAACAGAAATTGCGCGGTGGCAGCGCAGCGTCAGTGAGAGGCCCCATTAGCTAAAGTGGTGTCTCAGGTTAAGAACAGTTTCAGGTTAAGAACGGACCTCCAGTACAAATTAAGTTCTTAACCCGAGGTACCACTGTAATCTATGGCCTGTAAAAGTATGGGGGAGAGAACTGTTATTAGGATGACTATTTTATGACCAGGCTGTCTATCAGTATGCTTGTAATTATGTAGAAGATGTTTTTATTATGTTTTTATCACTGATGTTCTGTAATGTGTTTTTAATGTTGTACCCTGCCCTGGGATCTTTTGATAAAGGGCCCTGTTCCGCCCCTGCCCCATCCCCTTTAGGCACCAAAAATGGCTTGTGTGTCAGCAGGATCCTGCACAAATGGGGAGGTGCCTGTAATTGTTTTATGGTTGATGTTTAATCTGTTTTGTGCTTTGTGTCAATGTGGTTTGTTAAATGTGAACCACTTTGAGGTCACTGATGAGACAGTGGTATGCAAAAGCTCTCAAGGAAGAAGGTGTTTGTGTCTTGTCTGTATGGCTGGCCATCTTTAGCCAGGTAAGGGCAAGAAGAAATGTTGTTTGAGTGGAACTTAGAAGGAACACAGAGCCGTCTTATAGTTACAGCCCACTGGTGATGGTGCCAATTGGTGTATTGATTGCTCTCTCTGTAACAAGAGCTTTTGCCTCCGTAGCTTGTTGTTGGTTTTTATCTTTTAATAGACTGGATGCTTTGATGCATAGATATCAATCCTTTTACTCGTTATTGGCAAGAAGAACACTTTCTGAGCCTTATGCTGGCATGTCTGTTCCTAAATATTTTCTATATATAGCCTTTCAAACATTTCCCTATTCTCTGTAGTAGGCAGATTTGTTCTGTGCCCTTTAAAGAGCAGACCATTATTCACACTCCCAACACATCTCTCACATCTGCCCAATTGTATGCATGCTGAACATTGCCTGCAGTGTTTCAGGCAGCATTCTGGCCATCTGTGTCCCATTGCTTCAGCAACTTTCTTCCAAGTGCTGTCATTAATAATTTCTTCTATCTGGTTTCATTTTATATCTGGAACAGGCATGTTTGTGTAGCTCTTGTTTTCCACCCACTTTATTTATTTATTTATTTATTTATTTATTTATTCATTCATCCATTCATTCATTCATTCATCTGTTCAATTAAAATATTTTTACTCTGTTCTTCTGCCAAAAAAGCTCCCAGGGTGGCATACAGAAGCTCAAGCATCCCTGCCCACAGGTTTACAGTCTAAAAGACGTAGCACAAAAGGAAAGAGGACTGAGGAGGGAAGAGGAAAACGAACAATCTCAGGCACAATTCCTTAAAGCTACTTTTAAGTTGTTCTTATAATGGCCAGCCAGAATGGAAACAAGACACCCCTTTCTATTCTCCATTCAGGCAAGCAAGAGGCATTATCAGAGTTCAAGGACAAATTATGGACAGGCAAAAACATTTGTGGAAGGTGCCAAGCAGGGAAGGGGGTGGCCAGGGGGAGGGTGTGTGGCTAGTGAGGAGTTGTGGCTTGGGGAGAATCCTGAGGACCAGGTGGAGATATTAGAGGGCTGAACTTGGTTTCTGTGCAGGGGTGGGGCAGAGACCAATAAAACAAGAAAATTGCCATGGAATCCTATACTATTAGGGCAGCTACAACAAAGCCAAAAAAATTGGAAAGCAATTATAAAGTGATTTGAATTAGAGTAGACTTTTTAAAATGAAGAATTATGCAATACAGTGGTTCCTCAGGTTACAGACGCTTCAGGTTACAGACTCTGCTAACCCAGAAATAGTACCTCGGGTTAAGAACTTTGCTTCAGGATGAGAACAGAAATCGTGCAGCGACAATGGGAGGCCCCATTAGCTAAAGTGGTACCTCGGGTTAAGAACAGTTTCGGGTTAAGAACGGACCTCCAGAATGAATTAAGTTCTTAACCTGAGGTACCACTGTATAAGGAAAATTTACACATATTTTCTGTAACATT